ATTTACAAAATATGTAATAATTATAAATGCTACTAATGGAAGGTTAAATATTAACATATATATCTATAAAATTTTAACATAATTGACAGCCACTATTGGCTGTCGATTATACCCCATATAATTGACTCATTAAAATAATCGACATAATTTTTGTCGATTATAGAAGTATAATCAACAACTTTTTGACTATCAATTATATTCTTGTCATTTAAATACTGTTTTCTAGTAGTGGAAAGAATAAACAAAGTAAAGCTTGGCGGTGCAGTGCAATGAACTCCACACAGATTTAAAAGCAAACCTACAAGCACTTTCCAGCATCAAAGCACAGCTTCCTTCTCTCACAGCCTCTTTGTCTATGCTTGTGGCAACTTGCCTATTGCATACCTTGTTCTTATTCTGCAACATGTCAAAATCTGTCACGGCCATAATTTGGCCACTCTAATTGCTCACTGTTAAATCTAGCCAGCTTACAAATTTAAAGGAAAATGATACATACATCATGCAAAGTTACAAACTCTGTTACACAATGATGATTTTCATTACTTTTGCCATTAAAATTGACAGTTTCCGTTACTTGTGTTGTTAAAACTAATGGTTTTTGTTATTTATGTCGTTAAAATTGACAGTTTCCATTACCCATGAATGGTTTCCGTTACACATTAACAGTTTTCATTACACATTGACAATTTCCATTACATATTGGCAGTTTCCATTACACATTGACGGTTTCTGTTACACATTGATAATTTCCATCAGTGTGTAATTGTGTAAGGTGTATGTATCATTGTCCAAATTTAAATCAGCACTTTTATTAAATTATAAAATGCTAAACAAGAAAGATAAAGTACCATACAATTTCTACCACAAATTTGTCTCCAGTAGAATTCAAAGTATCCAGACCTCTAACCTCCCATACCATAGGATAGCAAAGCTTAAGGTAGATACCATTTATTTTTTGAGGTTGTAACTGTCCACTTAGTAATTCAAGCCAATATGCTCCCCCTTTAAGGACTTCATGCATGTGAAATGGCCCTTCCCATTAGGAGACCATTTTCCAAATCTAGGATCTTTCTTTCCAGGTGGCAGAATTGCTTTCCAAACTAGATCCCCTTTTGCCAGACTTCTGGAATTCATGCTCTTGTTAGATGCTCAGGCCATTTTTGATTTCTGTGTTTGCAGCCTATTTAAGGCCACTAAGCACATGTCTTCAAGGTCCTCAAGTTCTAACATCATTGCATCATAGTATTCTCTAGGAGTTAGACCATATTGAATTGCTATAAGCAACGATCTTGCAAATAACTCCATAGGCAAAACAACATTATATCCATAAGTTGAGGAAAATGGAGTTACCTTGGTAGAACTCCTTTGTGAAGTTCTATATGCCCAGAGTGTGTCCAATAGTAGCTCATGCCAATGCCTTGAATTGTTATCAACCATTTTCTCAAGCAAATTAATCACAATTTTGTTGAAAGTCTCTTCAGAGTTTTTTCTTTTCTTTTTTTTTTCTTTTCTTTTCTTTTAAGATTACACATAATCATCTTCTTTAATTTCGAAATTCAATACTTAAAACAGTCCCCTGTTTTGATTGTGAAACAGGGCCCTCGATTTTAGAGCACCTACCCCTCATCTTAGGTTTTCTATTCAACAGTCCAATATAATTCGAATTGTAAAATAATTTTTATATGTAAAAAAGAGAAAAAAAAAAACTTTAATCAAATAGTGTTTTTAAATACAAAAGCTTCAATAGCCAAATTAACCGAAATAGGCTGGTAGAAGAAAATGAAAAGATCCAGCAATAAAGAAGAAAAAAAAGGGTTTGAAATCATAGTTATATGATTACTAAGTGCTATGCTAAGCTACCAGATTAGATACACATTTAGACTTTTCTAAAAACTTTATGCTCTTTGCCCCACAGTTTGGCATAAAAAGTTATGGATCTGATCACCTTCCCTTTCTGTCTCTATGAATTCACATGGATTGTTTTCTCATGCACTGAACAAGTTTCTTGAGGGTGCAACTGATAAGAATTGGAACAAATTTGGAAAAGATTTTACTTTTCTTTTGGTTTTGTTTCAGTTGATTCCTTTCATGATATAGTGCTTCAAGAACTCATGCACTCTTTTCAGTAAGCAGAATAAAACCCATTTCATCCATCTGGTTGTGTTTGTATCTATGAGCTGTATACTAAATATCAACCAAAATAACTAGTTGATTCCCTTCATGATAAGGCTTCAAGAACATGGAAGAGAATGATTTGAACGTATATGGAATAATTCTCTACAAAGTACTTTTTTTTTTATTTGTTTTGGAGATTAACCAAATTTTAGTTTAAGTTGATCTGAGAACCTTCATGGAAGTTAAAATTCCACAAACAAGTGAAAGTGAAAGTAGAACCATAAATAATTCCTTTAGCTTTTTTTGGACCAAAAATTCTGTTTAGCTGCAACTCAGAAAACAAATAAAAATCAAATTACTGTGGATAATTGGATACGACTAAAAGTAGAACCAAAAACTATCATAAGAAAAGAAGGGTTGGGACTTTGGATGCACTCAAATACGTTTGATTTCGAAATCAAACAGGTGAGTTATATTACTAAATATGTCACCATCATTTCAACCATTGGATATGTAAAATCGACGGAAATTAGGTTAGTAAGGCTATAATGTGTAAGTGCATCTTGACTCAAAAAAGAAAAACGTATAATCAAATTGGTTGGTGTGGGCTGATGAAATTGGAGAGATTGAGAAATTTAATGTATGAAAATTTTCATTCAAACAATTTTTTTTTTTTTATCAGCAATTTCATTCAAACATTCATAATAAAAATAAGCATCTATTGCTAATAACCTTCTTGATTTTCAAGAGTTAGTTTCACTTTCACTGCATTAATCCATAAAGCAATAGTCCTTAAAATTCTGGCGCTTTTTTAGTTAGTTAACTTTCATATTTATTCATAAAAGACTGTTGCAGGAATAGCTTTGTAGCTGTAAAGAGGGGTTTGGACTGATCATAAAGGAGAAACATTTACAACTTAAAACCAAGACATAATATATTTAATCAAGCACCACAACCTTACAAGCAGAGCTGATTTTAAAGGCTGCAAAGGGTAACAGAGATAAATACATATGTGTTACTCTCAGAGCAGCTCTGTCTACTAGTAGTAATAGTAGTAGACTAGCTAGGATTTATATTTGTACCACAGATTTGATAATCCATTGTTATGGTTTTGCATTTACCAATAGTACTCCTTATTAATTAACCCACCATAGTTTTTAGCTGCCTGGTCGCTGGTAATAACATCCTCATTTCCTGCATAAGCTTGAGGTACCTTACAGCTGTACCATGTGACAGGCTCTTTCGGCTTGGCCATTTGGGGTACCTGATATGCATTTCGCCGGCCATTGCTATTGAAAATAACCTCTTTTGATGCAGGAACTGGTGCCTGAAATGCTTGTTTACCTGCAGCAACTTGGGTTGGTACCTGATAAACGTAGGTTGTGGAATTGCTAAAACGCTCTTGCAACACCGTTTGAGTCCGAGGCCCATTATAAACATACTTGCACTGCTGAGGATGGTACTCAGGAAGAGGAGGAGGAGGAGGAGGAGGAG